CAGCGGATTCGTAGCTTTTTTCCTAAAAAAAAAATAAATTGTAACAGAAAATTTAAGGACTTTTACTTGCTCATATGCGTTATACTTTTCGGCAGCGGGCGGATTTAAAATTGCATAAATATCGAACAGCTGATTGCAGTTTACTAACTACCAGAAAATCAAACTTCCTTCACGATAATTCACTAACCGGTACTCCAATAATGAAAGAATTTATACAAACTAAATACATTGGGAAAAATTACCGAATACCGAGTACCAAGCTCGGTGTGAACACCCCTTCTTTAAAACTAGATCAAAATCTTTAATAACTTCAAACCAGTGGAGTTCAACTATTTAAAAGCAGTTGTGTTTTAAATTGTAATTTTAAATTGCCGTTAACAATTGCAAATCCACTNACCCCTTCTTTAAAACTAGATCAAAATCTTTAAAAACCTTAAACCAGTGGAGTTCAACTATTTAAAAGCAGTTGTGTTTTAAATTGTAATTTTAAATTGCCGTTACCAATTGCAGATCCACTTTTATTAATCCATGTGCAATGTGGGTTCCATTTGGTTTTGTAATGGGTGGTCATATTTGTTGGGCCGTATGCATAAAACCTAAGCAAATGCTTTTTCTTAAAATTTCAGACCTTTTACTAAATTTTTTCAAATAAATTTAAGTTAAAGGTACGCAATTTTAAGAAAAAGCAATTGCTTAGTTTTTATGCATACGACTCATTGTATGTAATTCTTTTGTATTTTTTATTTTGTTAAAAAATACAATAAACAAAAATTTGAAGGTATTTTGGCCGAAATGACGATTTTTTATGGTAAAGAGACGCTTTCGGCAGCGCTCGTAAACACAAATTTGTTAGGTACCTTAATTGCACGCAAATTTTAAAATGCGACTTCGTCTTTACACAAAAATCGTAATTTTCTCATTATTTTTAACCAACTCCAAAAAAAGAGGAGGTCATCTATTCGCCGAAATATTTTTTTAAGTATATATGTTACCGCATAACCGATTTCGATAATTATTTTTTAAAGGAGGTGGTCCCATTGTAATTTGGTTTAGATCCGATTATCGAATCATGAAAAAACTAACGGTAATCTTAAAGTTTTACATGAAAATTGAAGTCGGTTTGGTTTTTTGCTAAAAAATTACTTCTTTATTATTATAAATTGTTTTAGTAATGATTTCATTTTTGTTTTTTCTACAATACCTCTGTGAACGCTAAGCATACCTAAACCTAAATTCAAGTACAAACTAAGAGAAAATATTAAGAGACATAATTATTTTACCTTTTTTTTAAGTAAATGACTGTTTATAAGACTAACAAAAGTAACTGAAAAAGACATTCACAGTTAATAAAATTATCGAGGAATAGCCAGCAGTTTACCAAAATTTTAATTTATTGCATTACATATATCGCAAATAATGTCGTATCGTGATAATATCAACAATCCCTATTTTATAGCTGGGTTGAATCTTTCAGGAGATAAAGAGCACTCAGATAAAAGTTGAGTTTTCGTATTTTCCAGCAAAAAATATCAAGTAACTTGCCAGTAACCAAATTTCGGAGAGTAAGCCAATATTTACTCCCAATGAGTGAAATATGCAAGAAAGTACGAAAACGCAAAACCAGCAAGAAGTTGCTAGTTTTATGAACAGCTGATTAATTTGTTATTTCCGGATGCAATTTTTTTAGAAAACTAGTATTTTCCATCTTATTATAAATTTAAATAGGTTTATTTTGACAATTGCAACTCTAAAGGCGCCACAAAAAATTATTTTGTTAATGTGAATAACATTAAGTATCATGCCATAAGCTGTTCTTCTTACTAGCAAATAGTTGCTACTTCTGATAAAAATACAATCGCCGTTCGGAGTCGGCGTAAAACTGTAGGTCCCTCCGCTCTGTGTGACAACATCAAGGCGCACGCCACAAATCGGAGGAGAAGCTCGGCCAAACACTAACATATGTATGTGTAAGCGCCAATCTATTATTATTATTATATAATTGAATACAAAATTTGAGGTCTCTTTATTGAATTATGCTAGTGCGGGGAATTTTGACCGAAAATCGGTGAATTTCGCGGTAGCCATCCCTTGTGATCACGAGCACTAACTTTATGTTTCGTTTCCATAACTATTTCTTTGCATGCAATTGTTTTGTTTGCATTAGCTATCGCGAACGTTCGCAGAGTAATAGGGAATTTACATGAGGCGATTTTTCAGGCGATTTTTGGTTGCAGGCAACAATCGCCTTTCAACTAATCGCTTTCAATGAAGTTGGTCGGCTGCCTACTTTCGTTCAACTTTTGATTCAACTAATCGCCCGTGAAAGTTGAATCATGTAAATTCCCTATAAAGTTACCGCTCGCAAAATATTTCCGAGTGGTTTGAAACGGTTGTGTTTCGTTGCCTTGTATGAGCGAAATTAAACGATTCCGAAATGTTTGCTATTGTTTGCTTGCGTTCCTGCAGATTAACTACCACACAAATGCGCATTATAATTTTGATATGACAGACGACACTTTTCCGCATTTAGGAAGGAGCTGATTTTTTGTTGGTGATAAATTCTTTGGTGTCTGCCTATAAATATGTACGTATGATCGAACGTGATCGAACATCGAAAGCTATTACACAAGTCGATTGTATAAACCCCGCTAATAGCAAACGGTTGCAAAATGCCGACAGCGTTGCCAGCATGAAATCGGCAAATTCAGTAAGCCGATTTGACAGAGGATCATGTATGAGTTAATGTAAGTAAAGGCCGTTATGCAGATAAGCAAGCCCGTTCGTCACCCGTATAACCGCTAAATATTTATTTTATTTCAAATCATTCGCGAATAATATTAAGTGTTGATATGTTCCACTTGTTGTGCACAACACTGTATAAACAAACCTCAGCGACAGTTGGCACCAAGGATGCCGTTTGGATCTAAATAGATCCAATTGGATACATTTTTAGACGAGTTTTTGCGGGACACTTATGTTTTCCGATCAGTATAAATGTGGATACTTTTTTAAATAGGCCAAAATTTTATATTTTCTATAAAGTTTTTTTCGTTCAAAAATCGATTTTCATTAATGACGTTTTCTAAATGTTTTAAAAAGCGCTATTTAAGCGTGAAATTTTTTATTTGTTTGTTTTTATTATTATTATTTTTTTTTTTTTTTTTTGTGAACGAAGCAATGAACATATGAGGAGATCTCACTGAGTGTAAGGCGCAATTGTTTAGTTAGGCAAAAAAGATGATTTAAGCAAGATCTTAATATATATATAAAGTAAATATATCTCTTTCATACCACATATTTCCATTTGTTAATTTTTAAAGAAAGAAGATCTCAATGTAGTTTAAAATACACTGTTTAAAAAACTAGATTTGATTTATTTAAGGAAATTTTTATGAATTTTACTGAAAAGACTTAAAATACACTCTAATTTTTTTTTGTTTATTTGCGCATATTAACAGAGGTAACCATTTTCCTCTTTTAATGTGTGCAAATTTGCACACCGTGTAACAAAATTGAACACTGCCTATTTAATATATCAAATTTGTCGCAGAGAGCAAAATAACACATAAAATGATTAAAATAGAGTAATAATGTTTATTATTTGTAGGAAGTGTATTTTTTTAGTTTCAAAATTTTTGCAACTTTAAACATTTCATGTGTATATTTATGTGCATATTTTAAAGATCTCAAGTTCAAAATCAAATCCTGAACATCTTATACGTATGTATATTTATACAGATTCCTGTTGAAAAATAGATACTTTTCAGTAGTAGTTTTACACACACTTTTTAGAGTGTACAGGTACAAATGTAACATATTAATTACCATTTATTATACTTACTTTGAAAAGTACTTATGCATAAAAAATGTAATTTATAAATTGAAATTACTAAACTTTGATTTTATGAAATATAAAAATATATATACGTATTCCAAGTCCTTAGGATGGTTTAAATTATGTATTTTTCTTGAAAATGTTTGGTTTTCTTACAAATTATGAGATGGATACGTAAAAAAAGAAAATTGGATACATTTGGATACATTTTTGGCTTGGTCGGTGATACATTTTCTTGGGACGGCGCGGCAACACTGGTTGGCACGCCAACACAACCATCAGCGCCAACGGCGACTGCGCAGCTGCTGTGTGAAGAAGACACAACGTCAACGCTGGCAGATCGCATGAGTTCACCTTCGCTTGCCTCGCCGAGTGTATTCTGCGCTCAGTCGGCGACGAATGTTGACGATTGACGGTGTGATTCGAATTGTTGCCGGACAGCAAAGCAGATTTGGTTATTTCTGTGTGGGGCAGTATTTCATGCATATATGGACAAATATCCATAGGTAGTATAAATTAAAAAATAAATAAAGCGCTGAAAATGAAAATTGAAATAGTTATGTAAATGCATTATTGGTCAATAAGCAGAAGCCATAAGAACGAGACTTGTGCGCGCAAATTCAAATTCAGTGAAATAAACGAATACTTATACGTAAGTGATTCAGTAAACAAACATTTACATATTTATGTACATATGTACGTATACATGTGTGTACATACGTATAAGTGTTTAGTATTATTTGTATATCATTTTAGTAACTTCGAATATCTGTGAGTTGGCGAAAATGTTATATGTACGAATACATACCTACACACTTATACTTACATACACACATCAATAAACAGATATCAATCACATCAATAGAGAAAATAAATAAGTGAATATTTTTGTTAGTTTAATTAAACAGCGCAAAAAATATGTCAATAAGTTCATGTAATCAACAAATGTCATTTAATTTGTGCAATTGAGATAGTAAATATTATAATAATGAAACCTTGGAAAGCAGAGTAATTGTGAATAAAACCTGCGGTAAAATATATGTATGTATATAAAACAATAAACTTGCGTATGCACTAATTTCCGTCATGGCCCTTGGAATGTGATAATCTCCAAAGTGATAATAAATAAGAGAAATATTGCTTTATACCAATTTTAACCATTAGCAGTGAACCTATCAGTAATAAAACTCTATAACTACAGCCGTTCAATAAATACAAAATCTGATTAAAATTTGCAAATTTGCGTGATAAGCACGCTTCGTTTTAGACGCTCGAAAGATTATGTATCTAGTAGTTATGATTCTGCTTATAAATTTGCCTCAGCCGCAATTTGAATTAACCATTTTTTATAATCTTATCATTGACTTTCTTTACATACCTTCAGTGACGAGAAAAACTGTAACATGGTGTAAACTTTTTATTTCAGCCACCGCTATCTTTCCAAGTTTTACCAACGACTTTCATACTTTTGTTGTATATTCTTATTGGTACACCCCTACTCCTTGTCTCATAAAGATTTGAAGTCAATCCAACAACAATAATAAAACCAGCAGGTAAAACTGTAAATTAAGGCAAATGTTACAGTTTTGCACTCACTCTCAGTTTTGCATTTTACAGTTATCTTTTACTTAGTTGGAAGTCAGATGACTTTTTTTCTGTATTGTAATTTATTCAAGAAGTGATTACTATTAATAATATGGTTAATCAGGAAACATAAATGTAAATAATAGATTTACTGTTGAAAGGCGGGACCGTAGGAAAAGTGGCACAAAAATTGTGGAGTTCGCCACATGAAAATGTGAAGACTGAGAAAAAAATATAACCTAAAGTGTTACTAAGGACAAAGGAAGTCTGCCAAAAAATATTACGGTCCGATGTCTTGTGAACTTAGAAGCAAGTAGCGCTGCAGCTACTATTACAGAAGCGCTTAAGGTATTGAAATTCAATGCAAATCAGTAGACAGCCAGGCGAAGAATTGTTGAATTGAACGCAAAGGCATAATAAAAGAAGAAAAACCATTTTGATCAAAATACATGTGCAAGAGTGGTTGCATTTTGCTAAATCGAACGAAAACCGGACCGCTGCATATTGGGATAGGTATGTTAGGGCTTACAGAATGCAATAAAAACTCATTTTTAAGATTTAATTGAAGGTTAGTTGGTCTGACAAGACTAAATTAATCGGTTTCAATCAGATGGTCGAGTATCGGATCAAAGACCCAAATTAAGCCTAAGGGCATCATGTAAGCGAATTACAGTGGTCGGTCAATAATAGTTTGGGGTTGTATTTCAATAATGTTGTTGGTCCGTTAGTACGCATTATGCGTAAGGAACAGTATCTGTTCATATTTCAACAAAATTTGCAGGATGTAGTCGAAAAATGAGAGTTTCTGCTGATAAATCACCCAAAACATACTGCATATATTTACAAAGACTGGATGCAAAAGCAAAAATTTGCTAATTTGAAATGACCTCCACAATCCGCGGATTTGCGAAATCAACTAAAAGCGCAGCTTACTAAGTATCCAAGTCCGTCCAATGGAGTACATGAGCTGTGAAAGCAAACCAAGGATATATGGGAGGCTATACCTCCAGAATTTTTACAGAAATTCACAAAAGGTTTTCCAAATTGCATCCAGGAATTAAAAAAAGCAAACGTATACTAAACATTGTTTTAACAGTTATTTTTTTCGTGAAAATTGTTAAAAAGTTATTAAAAATATATAAGTGCAAAACTATAACATATGCCTTAATTTACATTTTTGTCTGCTGGTTTTATTATTGTTGTTGAATTGACTTCAATTCGTTATGAGAGAAGAAGTACAGGTGTACCAATAAGAATATACAACAAAAGTTTGAATGTCTTTAGAACTTGGAAAGATAGCGACGGCTGATATAAAAAGCGTTACACCATGTTACAGTTTTGCTCGTCACTGTATATATATATGTACATATTTGTGCATCAGAGATTGGCAAACGATGCTGATTTTGTGACTTTAAGCCTGCTCACATTAATAACGTATTTCAAAAACAATTCAACGACATTTGCTTGTTTGAAATGAAGCATTGATCAGTGATCGGACTTTAAAAAAATTCTGTGTGGTAGAATCTGGAAAAAATGTGGCAGATTTCAAAACAATGTGGTAGTTCTCAGGGTTTGGCTCAAACTTTGTACAAAAATTAAAAAAATTCTGCAAGGTTTCCCTTAAATTGAAAATTTTTTAATTAAACTCTAAAAAAAATTAATTGCGTTGAGTTCTGGCAATTTTTTTACTTGACAGTGTAAAGCAGTTACTTCCATATCAAGATATTTTTCAACCTTGCGGAGTGCTGCCAGCTTATCTTTTTATCACATCAGGATGTAGCGAACAAATGTGGTACGTTACAGAAACCGCTACTTGGGATTTGCCGATTTTGACAATTCCAAGTAAAAGTAAACAACGCCTCAGAAACTTTAGATGCACTGAAATTTGTTAATACTTTCACAAAAATCGCCGTTTTTTAACATTTTCGCTATTAATTCTTTTTACAAATCATACAAGTATTTTGCAATTTAACACAATAAAACCACGCTTCCTGTCGAAAAATTTATTATTGAGAAAATTTACTATTTTACAGTTTATTTTATCCTCCTATTTGGCTTTGCTTACTTTTACTTGGGAAATTTCATCGTCGCCGGGAATGCGGAATCTTATTAGCTGTATTTTTTTGTAAGCGAACGACAAAAGAACGCACAACTCGGGTAAAATTTCCTTTAAGCTACTTAAGCAACCCTGCTGGTAGCTGGCAAGAAACATGTGATTAGTTTAACGGGATTTAGACACAAAAAAACAATAGAAATTAGTTATTATGCGAGGTATTTGCATAATATACATACTTATTTAAAATATAAATCATGTATATATGAATACAAAAATTTCTCTCTCCAATTTCCCAGTAACAATTCACAACAGAGCAGTTTTTTCACTTAAAAACACTAATCTTCAGGTCGCGTATTTTTTAACCGACCTGGCTGAACTCGGATAAATAGCCGAGTTTTTGTTGTTGCTTTGCGTGTATTTCGTCATTTAAGCGAGTGTTCTTTTGTAGCTCGGTTGAAAAGGAATGGACCTATCATATCATTCTTGTTACCTTATAGTGTTTAGTGTTGGACAATTTTCGCTCTTAAAATTAAGAAAATTATTTCGAGCAAAAATAAAACTAGGTACTCAAAAACGCGAATATGTGGTAGATTTCAGACCTTGTATGGTAGATGCTCAAAAAAGTGGCAGATCCACCACAATGTGGTAGTAGTCAGATCACTGGCATTGATATGTACAAACATACATACATACATACATACGAATGCACATTCCTCACAACACGCTCTTGGCGCCAGCAGTGAGTAAAGGAATTGAATGGTAGACGCGCTATAAATACAAGAATGATAGAATACAAGATTGCGCCAATGAGAGAGGATTTTTGAGCGTAATTTTTGCGTGACGTCATCTTGGTGCAATTGCGAGAGAGAAATGCCAAAACGCAAGAATGATAGAATACAAGATTGCGCCGATCAGAGAGGATTTTTGAAAATAACTTTTGTGTGACGTCACACTGGTGCAATTGCGAGAGAGAAATGCCAAAACGTGAGAAAGAATGGAAGAAGAAGAAAAAATGGTGCAAGGAAAACGTAAACAAGTTGCACAAGTGTGACGTCATGCAAACCACGATTCTTTCAAATTCGTTAAGAGAGGAATAGCGTTCCGAGACCGGCGCAACCTTTGTATTCTCTCAATCGTGGCCCAAACGCATATAAAAATATGTGAACAATGCAGAAAAATGTGTTAATTTTAATATTACATGGCCCAATTTTGCAGGAATCAATAAATATACAAAGATTGATTAATTAGGAACACGTAGCAATAATTTTGGGCATGTAGCCCTTTAGGTAAGTACGATTTTTAGCGCATGAAAAAATTGAGGTATTAACAGTGTTTGCAATTTCATGTAGACCAAAAGGAAGGTGTGCAGGAAAGTGAATTTTTTGCCATTTTAAAAAGCCATGCAGAGTGCATATTAATATTTGTGGACGGTAGCCAACCACCATAAACTCCACAGCTGTTGACTCCACAGCTTTTATTTGATGACTTGTATCATTTCCGAGAGGATGCATGAGTGTGGCTTCTTTGGAAACAAATATTCTATGTAAGTAAAACATAATTTAAGCTTAACTTTTAAATGTATAATAATTTGGACACTGTTTTGTATTAGGTACGTAACTGCGCGGTAAGATGCCGCTTGAATTAGCGCCTGGCGACCTTATCCACTGGTGCATTACCTCATACCAGCACTAAAAAGAATCAGGTACTAACAAAAATAAATAGGTAGTGAAGTTCATGTATCTATTTACTGTAGAAACTGCTTTTGTATGTATGCCATTGCCAGCAAACTAAACCAGCAGCTGTCTACATTCACCATGGAAATATACCTACTACAATTCACCAACGAACGGCCAACGTAGTTCCATGTAGAAGCACACATAGCACAAAGCCCGATTTGGTGTTGAATGCATCTCCTCGTCGGCAGAACTGTTTCCACTTTTTCGCCAGGTTTGCGTCCGTAGGAAACGAAAAAAAGCTTATATCGCACGCTTTCCTTTTGTTTTCACTATTAC